TCTATAAGAAAGATATGCAGAAGCTTATTCTAATCAATTCACGACTGCTGAGAGCCCATTCCAGTCAGTGCAGTGCAGTACAGTGCTCAACAATAAAAAACTATAAATATGTAAATCAACAAATGATACCCTTCCCTATAACCAGAAACTCATCACGTGCTAAGCAACCACTGTGAGTGTCTCGAGAGAATGTAACTGGATTATTACGCTGACTTCAGGATTTTTTTCCGATTAAAATCGAAAATATTTGTCTCTTTAAAATAATAAAAAAAAACGGAAACGTCTTAAAAAAATAGCTTTGCCCAAATTTTCTCTTGCTGCCCAAAAAATCTGAGTCGCCCAAAATTTCGGGGGGCTGCAGCCCCCCTCGCCCCCCCGGCCCGTACGCCTATGGACGCCCCTTCCCTGGTCTGTACACAGGCTATCACTGTCTTGCAAATCAATTATTATTTGTCTCAGCCAACTCGCCACTAGCAAATCACGACATTTTGCTCAATGTTAATTATTTTATACATAATTATCATGATTGTTTACATTTGAAGTTTGATGAGAAGTTCAATTGATATGATGGCAACTGCAACAACTGACAAATGCTAAAATAGATTTTTTTTGGCGGAGATTTAATTGCAGTACCCTAGCCTAAATTTTCGTTCGCGTGATCGATTTAGCAAAGATTGCATGTGACGTCACGGCGGCCATATATTTAGTGATTTCGCTACAAACATATATTTATTTCAAACATATATTTAGAAATTTCATGCAAATTCCGCGAAAAACCATTGTATTGTTTTGAATAGTAACATGACTGCCTTTTAATGCAGACGAAAATCAAGAATATGAGCAGATAATATGAATAGATTCGGAATTAATAAAGAAAAGCAGACAACGTACCCGTTTCAGACTTCTTGAACTACATTTGTATCAACTGAATTTAAGCTTACTGACTCTTTCAAGCCCGTAGTCTTTCAAAGTCTGCAAGTCTTCTACAGAGGCCGAGTTCTTTCCTAAGGAGGACAGTGATCGTTAAAACTGTATTAACTCAATTGCTAAGTCATCCCATGGGTATAAAGAAACTCAGAAGATCATGGAATGCAGGATGGAGAGAGAACGTTTCGACAATGTACCACGCAAAGCGGAAGTGAACTAAAGGAAAATCTTGTGGTGGCTATCAATTGTTACCCCTCCCAAGCGCAAACAATGTAGTTATTTCAATTAAAAGGATGCAAACTCACCTTGCTGTCGATTGCTACCAAGAACAAGTTGATGTTTTATCCCGAAATGTATAAACTACATGCCCAAGACTTGCACCGACTTGCACACCAGAGGGGGAATGTCCCAGAAATCCATACGGGAAATAAAAGACTTGCCCGGAGGGGGTTAGGCTTTAGTTAGGCTCAGTCTCCGGCCTGCGCCCGCGGTACTCCCCCACCCGAGGGTTGATTTGACGCATGCACTTTACTCTCTCTCTCGTACCTTCACGGGCTGATGACGAAATCGAATTGAAAATTAAACGAGATTTGATTTGGATTCTATGAGTCATCAACCGGGAGTTTAGGAGTTGTCGGTTGGGGAGTACCGCGGGCGCATCGAGACACCCAAGCCTATGAGAGACTGAGCGGCATGTAGCAGCTGCTCGAAGGAGGAGTCACCAATGGTGCCTAGCCCTAGACCCCAAACAATACTGAAACAATTGAAAGAATGACATGTCATTATTTTCTGCGACCAATCAGGAGAGACCTTACGAGCAGCTCCTACACAACTGGACTGAGCCTAGGATCTAGGAGTGGGGTGAGAATCCTCCTTTTCTCTTAAAATCCGTCTACTTCCTATTCCAGCCAGCGCGATTGCAAACAATGCCGTTACAATAAGGTATTTAATAGGACGAGACGAGAAAACACGTGGGCGAGAAAAGACTCTGCAAGAAATTGCAAGGGGAATACGTGGAAACCCGTTGCCTGGGTAACGAGCGTTTCGGATCGAGTGACGAGTATTGCGTGAAAGAGAGGAACGAAGAAAAGAGGAAACAGAGAAACATCATGGGGCGTTTCATAGCATCGTGGGGTTTTCGGGGAAGCGTTTCCTCTTTTCCCCTCCACCTCCCACTTCATTCCTCTTTTTTTACTCTCTCTCTCTCTCTCTTTCTCTCTCCAACTTTCGCCCAAAAACTCGATCGGAACGTTTTGCTAGCCTTTGTACTGTACAGCCGCCGCTTGTTCGGATCATTGTACGTTTCTGGGAAACTGCCCACCTACCCCTCCCCCAAACCAATATCAAAACTTACTTCTCAGATAGGGCAAAATGTTGGCTTAGGGGAGGAGTAGGTGGCCAGTTTCCCAGAAACGTATAATGATTCGCCTGTTCCAGGTTCTCAGATAGTGGGGAAGTCGCAAAAGTAAAAGGCACGCGAAAAGTTGGCGGCGGGGCAGGCGTTGTTTATTTTTTTCATGTTCTCATTTCAGCGTACCCGACTATCTCGGAGCCTGGAACAGGCTACTTGCTGCAACCTTGTCTCCAGCCGGGGGGGGGGGTACTAGACCAATATTTGGGTATAGGTGAGTCAATGAAGGTTTGAAACCCTGACCCTGGTTAGGAAAAAAAATTCCTAACACCCTCAATTTCATTACCCTGTTTAGAACAAAGAACAAAGTGCAGGTCGTATTGTTTTAAAGCCACTTATTGGCAACTGCTATAGTCCAAATTCACGTTATAGTCATTGCTGTTGCATACTTGGAGTAAAAACAAAATTAAGGTAACAAATCAAATCGGAATCGTTCACAGGTAATACCCTTTGGATAGACTCACAAGAAATTATAAATCCTGTTTACGACAAATCAGACTCACACGAAATTGTATACTCTGTTTAGGACAGAGAGGTCAAAAACCATACCCACTCCAGCGGCACATCCCCGTATAGACCATTATAAGGGAGTACCCTCCACCCCCGTCTTTAATGGCCACGGGGAGTCAGGGATTTGACCTAACAGCGTTTTGCACCAAGATCCCAATTTGGATGGTGGCGTTTACGGTATTCGGTTACGTTCTCTCACGGTTAACAGACTGATTTGAAAAAAAAATCATTTATTTTTAATTTTAAAACGTTTTCAACGGTCTTCCCGGGATGGAAAAAAGCCACGAGACAAGCAATCTCGTTCCCAGCATCCTCTCGCACTCGTATACGGCGAAAAGACTGACGGCTTTTGAGGAGCAAAAAATCTACTTTTATTTATTTATTTTTTTCACCCCAGCATTGCGTTGGCAAAAATACCGTAAAATTCCGAAAATAAGCCCCTCCGTGTATAAACCCCTCCAACGAAGCTCCCCAAACTCGTAACGCAAAAAACTCTCCGTTAAATCACCCCTCCAAATATAAGCCCCCCCCCCCCCGGGGGGCTTGTACTTAGCAATTGCCCTCAAATACCAAGTAATACAAAGCAAAAAAGGTAAATTTCCTTTCAACTATAAGGCTAGCCCAATCGATTTTGAAGCGCAAATTTCCCTCCATAGATAAGCCTCTCCGAATATAAGCCCCTCCAAAAATAAGCCCCTCAAAAAGGGCCTTTGGAAAATATAAGCCCCGGGGCTCATTTTCGGAATTTTACGGTATCGTTGTCAGTCATATACAGAACAATTCCAAGAACAAAATCGTATTAAGAATATGCAGAAACTGTCCAACAATTTATTATACTACAAATTAACAACATCTCAAAGACAATAGTTTATTATGATACTTAACGTAAGTTTATGGGAATTTGCATTTTACTTGTTAATACCAAGTCATTCAATGATACTCTTTGGAAAATCTTAAAATTTAAAACGTAGCTATTGCTTATGATACTGATGGTAAGTTTTTTCAGGGGTGAAGCCGGCCATTTTTTCATTTTAAGCTCCTGGGCCCAGTTGTTCGAAGACCGATTAGCGCTTAGCCCATGGTTCATTTTAACGCGGGTTCCTTTGTTCAAAAGCATTTTCTCGGATACTTTTTTCTGTTATTTTTAAGAGCATCCAATCATCAACATGTTGACCCAAAGAATCAAACTGAATTTACGTTTTAAGCTCTCATATCTGAATTCAAATTTCGCACTAACCCTGGGTTATCTTAACCAAGCTTTGAACAACCCGGCCCTGTTGTAGAGGTCCTGAAAGGGAGGCGGGAGAGGACATAGAAGCAAGCCAAGTTAACGGTTACCTTTAGTTAAGACAATACAGCACAGTTCGCTTTTGCAGTTAAGGGGTGAAACTGTTGCGTTAAATGAGTAAATAGCATAACAGTGAGTTAACACTCATGCTCACCAACAATAAAACTATATGATTCTAGCAGGTAATCAAGGTAAAGAAAGTGAGCAAATGTCCATCACTGTGACAGGCAGTGGTATATGCGTTAGGAGCAATTTCACTCCCTGTTATTAACTTTCGATTAGGGAAGGAACGTTTTCAATTGGGGGAAGGGGTGGGGATTCAGAGGGGAGGGTCATCAAAAACCAAAAATGGGACCCTTGAGGAGGGTCAACCCTTATTATAAAAGGTATCAAGGAAGAGCCAAGCCTTCTTTTCACAGTGGTTTCTTTAAATGTGTTCATCTACCACACTGATGTCATTTCTTCGTATTTTAAAGCTTCCTACCAGTCCTTTCTATCAAACGGAAACTTGTAATAACTCATTCCATTTAAACATCAGTTTTACTGCAGTTCATTCATCAGATTCATTCACTCTTTCTTTCTTTTTTCTTCTTGTTCTGCCATGGCACGTAACTGTCTCGGACGCCAGACGACCCGTGTTCTCTTTCGGCCGTACCTTGACGTTGATGTGTCCACTGTATGCAGTACAGGGCTGTCACTTATATCGCTCAATTCTCTCGATGATGTTGACAATGCTTCAGAGCCTACAATCCTTTCCTCTTCATCACTTTCTGGGCCCGAAGTTAAGCTTTTTCACAAAGTCTCTTTCTCCACAGTGCCTGATAAGATCCTGCCAGCGATATGTACTATATATATGCCACTTTCTCTGGCTTCTTCCCGTTAAACACGATTCCATGTCGTACCAAGTACAAATTAAGTTCATGAACTTTCAACGACGACATTTGGTCAGAATTTTACAATTGCTCTCATTAAATGTCGTTGTAATCTTCTTCCAGCCACTGCGTTTTCTGCCTTTCACTTTCAATCCTTCGCTTTTCCTTACACATTTCATATGACCAAGGTGATCGACATAGTCCTTCACCACAAACTTCAGCGGGACAACACAGTTCCGAGAAAATTCAGCTATTGTCCCGCCTTCTCCTGGATTTAATTTGTGTTGGTGGAACATTCTTTTCATTTGAGCTCGGGGCTTAAATCATCAGGTTCACGACCATCGATAGACGTTGCTGATAGTGGTAGATACTGGAAATCAGGAAGCTTGTCATAGTCGGGGAAGGGTCGGAGAGTCGCCTCTACGACCCAGCCCTCCCCCCAATAAAAAACCTACCTTCCCTTATATGAGGTAATTTTAACCTGGGCTTAATGGCTTTTAAGGCAGCTACGCCCCTGTTCTAAGATTTTTCCGTTCACTTGCTGACTAATTTGTTTTAATAATACTGACAAAAAACTCTACAACTATCGTCCTTCAGTTACTGGTCATGATGCCGGATACTTAACATCACTTCTTAAGGTTCTGTTTTACTTAATTGCTAGTTCTAAGCCATTTAATGACTGAAATAAAAAAAAATATATGACTTAACCTATTGCTCACGATACTGGATGTAAGCTCTTGGGTTTTCCTTTTCCCTTGCTAAACTACAGTCATAAAATACCGACAAAAAACTCCACAATTATCAACCTTAGCTATACAGGTCAAGATGATACACTTGGAGTGCTAATTCGATCTAAGCCATTTAATGACCAAATAAAAATATAGAACTTTTGCTTATGATACTAAAAGTACGTTCTTAGGTTTTCAAAGTCATTTACTTTGATACCAACGAAAAGCTCTACAACTATCACCTTTCAGCTACTGGTCAATCATGACGCCTGATCCTGAACATCACTTCCTAAGTGCTAGTTCTAAGCCATTTAAAGACACCAATAAAAAACTTCTCAAACGTAAAACTTAAGCTATTGCTCATGACACTACACGTAAGTTTTAGGGTATTTCTACTCACTAACTAAATTAAGTCATATAATACCGACACAAAAAACTGCAATTACCAACCTTAAGCAACAGCTCATGTTAATACACTTGGAGTGCTTATTTTAAGCCATTTTATGACACCAATAAAAGTAAAGAACTCTTCAAATACAAAACGTAAACTATTAATTACGATACTCAATGTAAGTTCTTAGGTTCTCCTTTTCATTTGCTAAACTAATCATTACCAACCAAACAAATCTGCAATTATCAACCTTAAGTTACAGGTCATGATGATACAAAGTAAGAGTGCTAATTCGATCTAAGCCATTAAATGACACCAATAAGAATAAAGAACTCTTGAAACATGAAACTTAAGCTATTGCTTATGATGCTAAAAGTAAGTTCTTGGGTGTTTCTTTTAACTCGCTAAACTAAGTCATTTAATGTAATAACGACAAAAAACTCTAGTCTTCAGTTATCAACCTTAAGCTACAGGTCATGATGAAACTGAAAATCATTTCTTTGGGTTTCCTGTTTGACTTGCTAGTTCTAGAAGCTATTTAATAATAATAAAAAAAACTTAAGTAAAACGTCTGCAAGGCACGGATCGGACCGCCGGAATTGGATCAACCGCTGTAACTCACTAAATAACAAAAGGTTAGGGATAGAGTCACAAACCCGGTTGATCCTGAGTCCGGTCCAATCCAGCTTTTGTCAACGGTCGTATACTAAGCCTGCTAACGATGCTGAATCAGTTCTTACGATTTTTGTACTAAATCTAAACTCTTCAAATACAAACCTTAAGCTATTGCTTATAACTCAATAAAAGACATACATGTACGATTAGAAATAGGGTTGCAGGGGTTTAACCCATCCGCTCCGATCCAGGTTTAGTCGACGGTCCTTTAAATATAAAACTAAAGCTATTGCTTATGAAACTGAACATTAGTTCTCTTTTTCCGGCCAGAAATCTTCAAATACAAATGGTAAGCTATCGATAATGATACTAAATCAGTTCTTACGGTTTTTGCGCTAAATCAAATACAAAACTGATTACGTACTGAAAATATGTTATATTGTTGTTCTGTCTTACTTGAGTTGCTAATACTAAGTCCTAGAAACCTAACTGTTCGAAAATATACCTTGAACCTTGCTCTCGAAACTGATTAGAACATTAACTTCAGGTTCTCCGTTTTACTAGCAACTAAAAAAATGTCAAATCTAAAAGGAAGCTTCTTCATGTAAAAACGAGAAGCTGTTACTTCAGTCAAAATGATGTTAACAAAAAACTATAAACTTTACAATAAACTGATCACAAACTTACAAAATGAACCTACATAGTTCATTTAAACTACACTGTTTTACTTGCTAACATAGTCATTTAATGACACCAAAAGGAAATTCTTAAAAATATTCCTTAATCTGTTGTTATTATGATACTGTACATGTTTTGTGTTGGTTTGCTTTACTAATTATAATTCACCCAATGTTAATGGAACCTCTTCAAATGTAAGCCTTGTGCTATTGCTTACGATACTCTGCATCAATTCTAGAGGTTTTCTGGTTTACTTGTTAATAATTACTGTAAATCCTTAAAAGATGCTAAAACGATGTTAAAAGATGAACATTTAATTAAAAAGTTTAAACGTACTGCTGATGGCATACTTTTCGAAGCTTTTCCATTTTTTATGGGCTTTTTTTTTCACAGCGTGTTTTTCAATCCACCTGCTGTCAATGTCACTGTCAATAAGAGACTGGCTGCTCACGTAACATTTCTGGATACTGCATGTACATCCATCATCAACCTCGAGGCTCCAAACTCTAAAAACTAAACATCAATTTCGCAGTAAAGTAAGACTTAAACACTACCATAACCATCAATAAAGAAAAAATCGAAAAAAATTATTGAGTTCTACTTACTAGACAAAAGTACTGGGAGATCCACCACTACAAAAATATAAAAAATAAAACGGTCTTGAACAGAATAGACAGTGGTATATAAAAATTCGTAGTTAAAAGATACATTCTAAAAGTACAAACTAAAGAATATCAAGAACATTTACAATGACTCTGAGAGATGGAGCCGAAACCAATTGTGGAATTGCACGCATTTTAGGCATCCTACTGATGAACAGTTGAGACACGTAGATATATTTTTTAGCAACTACTATAATTTGCAGTCTGTCTACTTTGAATTGTTAGCAGTAACAGTTCTGTTGAGTTCAGTTTAACTGAGTCAGCTGCCACTAGAGTCTTTCCGATAAATATGTTCCGAAGTACTAGGGGTAAATTTACTAAATGCAACAAATGGAATGTGCTTTGTGCCCTATTCACTCCAACTAAACATATTTAATTATAGCAGGTTTAACAAAACGAAATATTTTAAAGTAACTTCATATCTCAATTTAAACTTGTGCTTTAAATTCTGCGAACTTAAGGCGACAAACACCAATACGCAGCCTTTAAGTGGAAACATATGCCAAGGCGATAAACCAAACAGCTTTTAATCATGTTAAATATTGGTGCGAAAGAAGCGTAAGGGTTTCGGATGTTATCATTACATCCTACAAGCGTGTGGTCAAAAGCAGAGTTAAAATATCATTGAGAACCTTCGTGGCCAATTAGCATGGGTTAACTAATTTCGGTTTCTCAACCGTGCTTCTTTTCGAGCCAAGAATGAACTTTAAGTAACGTAAAAATCCCGTATTATAATCCTGGTTATATGCCTACCCGTTTGCTATTAAAATAATGTTCTGGTTACACGCTGATTCCTGATCATTGGTAACCACATAACGGTTCCTCAGCAGCAATTTTTGTTTTTTTTTAAAAACGTTAAAACGTTTTACAATTTCAGTTCAGTTCAGTTCAGTTTTACTTAGCCAAAGTAAATTACAATGCAAAAATACATATAAGAATTGTTAGTTGGCAAGAGAGCCCAGAAGAAACCAGAAGGCTTATTAAGCCTAGGCTCCCCAGTCACAAAGAAATTAGTAAAATGGTCAATCAATCACAGTTGGAATGGGAAAGAATAGAGAACCTTGCACTCACAATTCGTTGCCAAGTCGAAGCACTGTGGCACAACCTTTGTCTCCAAGTGTTGAGCTTTCAGAAACTGCAAATCATTAAAATACGATGAATAAGTTACTCAGTTGACGGATTGAAAATTTATGTATAAAATTAGTAATTATCAAAACTATAAAGGCCACTTATTTCTGATTGCTTCAGTGAAATCTTCCTGGTTACTATGGATGGGGAAAACTGAATGCAAAAACTAAAAGCAATCGATAATACTTCATTCACGCATGCAATTAGAAAATATCTGTTTATGTAAGGATCTGAAATCCCCCAAAAAACTGAATTTGTATTCATTAGTGGTCCCAAATAACAAAGTAAGAACCATTATCACATCCCTATTAATTAGACAAGATCTATGTAATCTGCAAGAATATTTGAAAATTGAGAATACAGCTACTGGCAAAGTTTTTAAAGATTCACAATGTTTTCTGGAGCTGAGATATCTCGCTCACTTCTCATGACGTTTTCTTATGATGATGTATTGATATTGTTAAGGGAAAATTGAGGTTTAAATTTCTTTAAAAACTTAGTTGAGAGAATTTGTTTAAGAATCAAAGCATTTTCTCTCATAAGGTGATCATTTCATCACTTCTCATGTTTTCGTATGAGGATGTAATGATATTGTTAAGGGAAACTTGAGGTCACCCTTGGGACTTGAATGGGTTAAGCGGCCAGCAGAGGCCAGCCTTAGGGAAGGGACAAGTGGCCGCTTAATAAAAGGTACTTTTTACAGTGATTTACTGACAGCTTTGTTCGCAGGGAATCTTGTAACAGGCCGCTAAATAGAGTGGCCGCTTAATAAAAGGTACTTTTTACAGTGATTTACTGACAGCTTTGTTCGCAGGGAATCTTGTAACAGGCCGCTAAATAAAGTGGCCGCTTAATAAAAGGTACTTTTTACAGTGATTTACTGACAGCTTTGTTCGCAGGGAATCTTGTAACAGGCCGCTAAATAGAGTGGCCGCTTAATAAAAAGTACTTTTTACAGTGATTTACTGACAGCTTTGTTCGCAGGGAATCTTGTAACAGGCCGCTAAATAGAGTGGCCGCTTAATAAAAGGTACTTTTTACAGTGATTTACTGACAGCTTTGTTCGCAGGGAATCTGGTAACAGGCCGCTAAATAGAGTAGCTGCTTAATAAAGGTACTTTTTACAGTGATTTACTGACAGCTTTGTTTGCAGGGAATCTAGTAACAGGCCGCTTAATAGGGTGGCTGCTTAATAAAGGTACTTTTTACAGTGATTTACTGACAGCTTTGTTTGCAGGGAATCTAGTAACAGGCCGCTAAATAGAGTAGCTGCTTAATAAAGGTCCTTTTTACAGTGATTTACTGACAGCTTTGTTTGCAGGGAATCTAGCAACAGGCCACTAAACAGAGTAGCTGCTTAATAGAGGTTCGACCCCACTAATATCCACAAACTGCAATATCCTTCACACAAGCTCCTTTTTGGGAACTAATATTGCAAATTTAATGTGGGTGTGATCTGTCGACGCTACGTAAACTTAGCAATTCTTCGACTAACGATAAGGAAAAAACGCATTGCTCACCTTTTGCTTCCCGGTTTCCTTTGTCTCGCGGCAGTTTTACTTCGATAACTGTGCACATATTTGTGTGCTCATGGCCAATAGCGATCAAACCCTCTTGTGGACAGGACGCCAGACACTGGGACGGTACAAAATTTATATCAAGTACAGTTAGGAAATCCCCAGTGCTAACATTGAACAACGGAAGACAATACCTCCCTGAAGTATTCATGCAGACGATAACACATTCCGTCTTACTTACAAAGGCACAGCCAAGAACTTTGCGAACGGTGCATAGCGTCCGGAGACTCTTTCCTGAAGATGCTTGAAAAACAATTACCGTTTGCTCAATCTCATCGCTTGCAGAGATAAGGACAAACTCCTCTGTTGGAGAAAACATCCCAGGTATGCCCTCTTTAAGGCCACGACGACGTGCAAATGTCAGACTTGTATTCCATAGTACATTTTCGCCATCTGAAAGCTGAAGTGAGCTAGAACGGAAATGTTTCAATCCACCACGTGTTACAATAGTGAATAGCAGCTGATATTTACTGTTACATAGTATGGCTTCTATACGAAACCGACTTGCTAACTGGACACCCTGGTACCAAAGTGGGATGGTCTTCACTATGTTTCCATTTGATGTGTCCAGGATGCTTACTTCAAAATCTACACACGCTACACATTGGTCAGAAACTGGCATTATATCCGTAACCTCGCTTAAATTAGGCCAACTTCGGATTTGTTGTGACAACTCAAAATTCCATAGCTGAACATCCGCCCCAGGTTTACTTTCTTTCAAAAGGACACCTTCTGACACAGGTACAAGTAAAACATCACGTGTACTTATCCGTTTCTCTGCTTTACGCTCTCCACTCGACACATCCAAACATACCACTTTTATGTCTTTCTGCCATTTAAAGGTACCATAAATGGTCTTCCCATCTAAAGCGAAGGCAATAGGAAAAATGAAAGGAAAACGCCTGTTGAGCCTCAAATCGTCCCGTTTACCACAGTTAAGCATTTTAATATTGCTGTCCTGATAAAGTACCCTTAATTCACTTTGTTTGTTTAATACAAATGCAAACCCATAAACCCGAGAACTAAAAAAAAACATAGGATCACCCATCAAGAATCCACCTTTGCTAGATGCTTCGTAATTCCGAGGATCATCGACGGGATCGACGGGATCATAGACGGGATTATTGACGGGATCATCGACGTTAAAGGAAAAGGTGCCACAAGGCAACTTAATGATGTTTAAGCGAAAACTTAAGTTTGGCCCCGGGTCTAATAATGGAAATGACAAAGACGAACAAAAAAGGAATTGAATGTCAGGGGTAAACTTTATCATTCCACAAGGTTGAGAGGTGGCGACTTCTGCTAGAGTCTCTAAGCCGTTCAATGCGTCAACCAAACATACCAGTCCCGAACAATGGGAAATTGCCAGAAGCGTTCCATCTGGAGACCAAGCAAAAGACAAAACATCTTCATTTCTGATGGTTCGAGTGATCTCTTCACCATTTTTTAGATTCCACATGACAAGGCATTTAGCATCGCCAGGGCAATCGGTGATAATTTTGCTCTCGTCCCCATGAACTGAACAAACAGAAAATCTGCAATTGCTTCTTGGAAACAGAGGTTGGAGGTTTCCTTCAAACGAGTAAGCATGGCTAAGGATTCCAGGAAGAACAACGGGCTCAGTAGGGTGAAAAACAACAGAGCGATAACAGGAGAATACACTTGAGCTTGGTACCGCTCTTAAGGGGAAAAAACAGGCCAAGTAGCGTTTCCTGACCTCAACGGGACGTACCCACCTTTGCTCACCCGTTTCGAGTGACCAAAGGTAAATCATTCCATCATTACATTCGCAAACCATGAACTCCTGCGTAGCGGAAACATCAAAACAAGCAACCATGGAGTTACAGGGAAACTCTGCCTGGGTCTCATTTGACTCCTTCACAGCTTCCTTATGAAGGTACTCCATATAGGCTATTTTACGACTCTGTAAAGCTTTTGTCGCTTCACCAGCAAAAACGTCCTCTCCCTCGTTCACCATCACTTGAAATATTGTACTAGGATGCGTCGAAAGTCTCCCATGGTACTTTCGTAAGAGAGACAACAACGTGCCAAGGGCTTTTCGGCTCTCACTACTCAATGACTGAAAAGCTTCCTGTTTCTGAGTAAGGATAATATCTTTACAGCTAGCCGTGTTGTTTACACAAAGCTTTGCAGACACAATGTCTAAGTCGGTGACATAGTTGTTAACGATTTCTTCAAAGCTTCTTGGACTCTCTGCCACCTCTTCCGACTCGAGCATATGATAAACACCATGCTGTAGGGCGTACCTTGCAGTGTTACTGAATTCTGTTCCGTGAACGCCTTTTCTTTTCACGTTATTCAGTTCATTAGTACAGAGCTGAGAGAGCATGGCATGACCTTGCTTTTCATCCACGGAGAAGTGGTGTCGCCCGTAACCAGTTCTGTCAATCAACCAGTCCTTAACTGATTTGTGGAAGAACACAATGCAGTCATCATGAACAGGTAGAAGGGTTGAGATAGAGTTGATAGCTTTTGTTACTTTCCGAGGACCAGATAGGGACTTCGAGTCCGAAAGCAGCATCTTAGAAACAAAGTCTCGTGGTAGCGGTTCTCTTGCAGCCGCCAAAGCACTTAGAAAAGTCAAAAACTGGTCCTCACCAATTTTCAATTCTTTCTCTAAACGTTCAAAGTAGGATTGATAAACAGACGATACACCTGAAGGTAAGGTTCTTCCTAACTCCTCGGGGGTGAGAAGTGAAACGTTTTCCCTGATAAAATCGACCATCAAATAAGCATATAAAAAATGCCCTGCAGCCTTTCGGACCAGAGCATCGATAATGACCTCTTTAAAGCCCGCTTGAATAACACTGCTCAACTGTTTTTCAAGGAAGAGTCTGATGTCTTTCACGTTTTCTTCGTTATCTTGCTCCAGCTGAATAGGATTAAACTTTTTAAGACGATCTGCAATATTTACTTCGGGTCGAGTGGTAACAAGAAACCGGAACCAAGCAGGAAGTTTACAAAAATGATTAGCTACGACATCAAGCAGATCATTGCGGCCTTTGTATTCACTTTCATCCAGGCCATCAATAGCTAACAGCAAATTTCTCCCAGGGTCTCCTACGGTACATAAAGGCTCCTCGAAAAGAAATTCGAACAACTCCTGAACTTCTAGGCTGTCCATGTCCACACCCAAGTTTCTAGAAAGTTTCTTCAACAGTTCACTTTTGTATTCTGGTAAAACATCACAGAGCTGACAAGCTAACGATTGAAGCATCACCTTGGGGTTTCTGTAACGTTCCTTGTTGTGCTGACAAAAGTGACTTCCTGAGAGCCGACCAGCGTGTTGCATTCTCTGACAAACGACAGCGGCGATCACTGATTTGCCCATTCCCGCATCTCCACTGATTACTATCACACGATTTTCAGATGCAAGGTCGTCTAGCCACAACTTGATCTTCTCAAAGATGTGCAAGCGCGTTCCCTCCTGGTATTTCCCAGAGTGATACTGGATGACTCTCTCGGTGTTAACTTGTGCTAATTTTCTCAGAGCTTCATCCTCTTCAGCTTTATCTCTTCTTTCTTCAGCGTTTGCAGCCTCATACTTGAAAAGCTGCTGCGATTCTTGTTGGGTTCTCCGAACTTCGTGTAACATTTGTTGTAAATTGCCAACTGCCTGGTGTGTATCTTGAAGAGTTTTGTGGTCCTGCTGTTGCAAATTGCTGGCTTCTATTTGCGTCTGTTGCACTTTTCCAACTATTTTATGCGTATCGTGAAGAGTTCTGTGATCTTCCTGTTGGGTTTGGAGCACTTGCTGTTGTTTTGTACGTAGATCTTTCAGCTGGAATTGGATCTCTTCGTCATTTTTCATCCATTCAATAACAGCGCTGACATAGTCCTCCCCACAAGGCTCTCTCTTTAACCTGTCCACTTCAGACTGACTTAAACCAAGCGAAACAAGAACAGAACTAACTGCCTGCCATTTCACATCGAACACTGGTGTTTGAATGCCAGTTGTTGTCACGTGACCATAGAGTACGTTTCGATAATACTTAATGCGAGCAAGGTTAGCCTCAAATGAGGTGTCACTGGCGGGGGGCATTCTGTCCCAGCCTGAAAGGGGAGGATGTAGGCCGCAAATGTTCCTCAGCAAGAGGAACAGAAGAGTGATATCAAAGTTCTTAGAGTTTGGTGGCCCTCCACCTGGTGGTGGAAACAGTTTGTCCCACTGAACACCATTCAGAATGTTTCT